TATAAATGTTTAATGGTGCATGTATGTATATAAATGTTTAATGGTGCATGTATGTATATAAATGTTTAATGGTGCGTGCGTGCGTGTGTGTGTGTGTATAGACTTCATTCATGATGCCAGATTGCTACATGGTGCAATACTACTGTTGTAGGTAGGTAAAGGAGTCCCTGCAGATTTTACTCCACTAAATATAGGGGGTGGTGCTCATCTCTGTTTCAAGGCCATTGAGCCAGAGCTGTCTGAAGACATTTCCATCATCATACAGCCAGCATGACATGACAGTGCACTCTTAACTTCCCACCGAAGTGGTACCTATTCATCTACTCGCATTCACATGCTTTCAAAACTGCTAGGTTGGCAGGAGGTGGGTGGGGCGAGGACTGTAGCTCACCCCATCAAGTGACACTTGGACCTCGAACTTGGGCTGCCAGCTTTCCAGCCAACAAAGCCCAGTGCATCTTAACCCCCGACTCACCACACTGCCTTTATTACTGTTGTAGGGAGAGGATGAAATTCAGTTTGGGGAAAGGAGGTTCAAGGCCCTTAAAGAAGAGTATCTGGTGAGACCTGCAACTGAACTTAATCCAGACGAGCTCATGCAAGCCAACCAGGGCTATGAATTTTAACTCCTCTCAAATAACTTCCCCTGGTTGAATAGTTCATATACTTTAGCAATCTAGAACTGGGTCCTCTGGGATAAAGTAACCTTTCCTAGCAAGTCATATCATACAAACTGGGATATGCTAGAAATTTCCTTGTCTCAATTTCTATTATATTTTTCTAGGATTGTTTAGATTCAAGACTCATCTCCTGATCTACCACAAGTCTCACAAAAAAACCTCCTGCTCCCATGTAAAACTAGAATTTTAAGAAGATTTTCTGGTGATTATGTGGCAAGATCTCTCCTTGTTTGACTCAATTTTTTTGCTCTCAATCTAATTACTCCTGCCTTTCTCCCCCACGCTTCCTTAAACAAAAAACAATTGCTTTTTCTCCCTCCTGGCAAGCTAGACATTGATTAAATTCTGTAGAAAACACTGCATTAGAGGCATTTCCTCTTCTGGGCTAGACTAGGCCTGATGGATCAGGGGTGGGGGTTTCTTTGGTGATTTTAAAAGAATTATTTTTTTGCCAGGAAGAAAATCAAAAAGGCCTTTTCCAGGTTTTCCATTGCACCTCTAATAGTTTCTCAGCCAGAAATGGGCATAATGGCAATTGCAGCTAACTGCACCTGGAGATACATACCTGAAGAATCTGCTTTTAAAAAAAAAATGCAATATAGCCTTTTTCTCCATACAGGTAATCCTTGATTTACGGCCACTATAGGATAGGAAAATCTATCAATAAGCAGTGTGATTGTTAATTGAGGCATCGGGTGACGGCAGCCAATTTTATGACCTTTTTTTGCCACAGTCATTAAACACATCATCGTGGTCATTAAGTGGGTCACAACGTATGACCTTATCTGCCGGCTTCCCAATGATTTTGCTTGTCAGAAGCTAGGTGTCAAGGTGGCAAATGGCAATTACGTGACCAAGGGACACTGCAGCCGCCATGAATGTATGATGGTTGCCAAGCATCCAAATCACGATCGCTGTGAGGATCAGTCGTCACTTTTTTCCTCATAACTTCGAATGGTTGCTAAACAAATGGTCATAAGTTGAGAGCTGCCTGTAAATATAATGTCCTTCTCTCTGGCTGTTTTCCTGCAAGTAAACAAGTCAGATTGCAGATTTTTCCAGTTAGGAATTAGTCTATGAATATGAGCAGAGATGGACTAACACTACATGCTAATTCCAGTCATGGAATCTATTGAAGTAATGACTCTTAATTAATATTTGGGGAAAGCAGGATGCCCTGTGGCATGGAGAGTCACTTGGATTTTAAATTTGTTATACTTTTTACAGGCAAAGTAGTTGCTGTTAAAGCACTGACTTGTGAAATATATTCCAACTGATATCTTATGCCAAGTTAGGTTCTAATGTCTTACCTCAGAACCCGTAAGGTGGCATTTCCTTCTCAAGAAACCAATGGAGTTCCATTTGGATCTAGAAAAAGTCAATTCTGGAGTGTATGCTTCCAGCTGAGCAATCTGCTCTCTAGTGAGAAAGTCTCCGTGGATAGACTGATTGTCTGCTTTTCTGCTTTCCCATAATAGCTGCTGCGCCAAGAATGCACCTATTTCTTTAGTTTAGGGATGACCATAGTATTAGGGGGATGAAGCATATATTCACTTGGGTAGGCTATTTGGAGCTGGGATGTGTTGACTTTTCATAGCCCTTCTTCTTCTCCAACAACCAGTGGAGTTCCAAAATATTGTCTAACAATTTCTCAAAAGTTTTATTCTACTAAAGGGAAATCTGTTTTTCAGCCACCTTCTCAGTAAAAATGTCTTTCAAATTTTACTAATGTTCTAAGGAACTGTGATAGCATAATAAGAATAAAATGTAATTGTTTGTGTTTATGGATCGTGCTCAGACTTTTGCCACCACATTATCTAACATGACAAATTGTCAAAATTGGCTGTATGTAAGATATATAACACCTCTGCAATGGAGGAATAGAACCTCTGAATGGCTTCAAGGAAATAAGGCAGACCTATACATGCTGATAGACCAAAGCTACCATAGGAGAGACTAATGCAGCAATCTATGCCTACAGGCCACAGGCAAGATTAGAGCAGTGGTGGGTTTCAAATTTTTTTCGAAC